ATTTAGTAAGTAAAATAAAATTATACTTCGCTAATCTTAAAGATTTAGGCCTGGATTCCACTTTACTTCTGCCTGTGTATACCAGATATCTGTAAAAATTTGAAAATTAGATTGGTTACTAAGATACTAGAGAAAAAGAAAATTTAAATACTTGAATATATTAGGAAAATAAAATAGTTCCAGGGATTAAACAATCATTATTTGTGATATAAATAAATTGAATTTGGTTGCTAAAACACAAGATAGAAATGAGTCCACTGGCATCAGTAAAGAAGACAAGAGGTTCAGAAGAGAAGACAGGATAACATTTATTGGTCCTCACCAATACTATGAACATATCAAGTCAGAACATCAGAAATATACTTTTTAAATGAAAGATTCAGTTTATCAGAGCTGGCTGTTTGTGAACAATTGCAAAAATTCACATGAATGCTGAAAATATCAGTCAGAAAACTAGACAACACCAAATATCTTGCATGTTGAGGAGTAAGATTTTTGATGGATGTCAACAGGCAATCAATCCATAAATATTTGAGTATCTTCAATGTGCAATGCCAGGCTCTGCCAAGATTCCTATTCTGTAAATGTCTCCTCCACATTTCAACTTTTCCTTTTGCTGCCATGTAACTCTCCTCTTCTCCATCCCCATCGTCTGTTTTTGTTTTTGTTTTCTTTCACATGCTGGTTCTAACTCCTCTACTTCCCACAAGAGCAGCCCACAACTACGTCTCACTGTAGGAAAGAAATGATCAAGCCCTTTCAACTCAACATTAGATAGATGAGCATCAAGTCACTTGTAGGGGTGGGGAATCCTGTGGCCTTCTGATTTCAAGAATGTTCTTTTTTAATAACGAAAGGAGGCAAGAAAAGCTTCATCTTTCTCTGCTGCACCCATTTAATAAAAGGACATGTTCTGTAAAATTTGGATTCAGTCAAAAGGATCCAGAATGCACATATAGCCCCAAGGCCACAGGTTCCCCTGTTACAAGCTGCAAGTCCCTTTATCTAGGTATCTCTAGACTAACGCCTCATCTTTTTGCTTTAGTCTCCTTCAGGAGATTAAATCCTACTGAGTAGGATTAGTATCCGTTCCTGACTCCCTCACAATATTCTCTGTGCTATTGGAAAAAGTGGCTCATATCTGCTTACTAAAGATTGACATGCAATATCAATATATATAAAGTAAGCTCAAAGATCTAGAGGATTATGGGAAGATCTAGTAGAGAGGCTAGAAGATTTAGTAGATAAACTGGTAATATTAATACAATTATAAGACAAAATACAGGAGGCGTACCTGAGAGCACACGATAAATTCCACATAAGTTAACTAATAACAATAACTTCTAAGAATCTTAATAAAAAGAGGTCAGTGGTTATAGTGAGAGGAGGAGGTGGGATTTCAGCTGGGCACGAAAATAGATAGAATTTGGATGGGGGAAAGAACAGGAAGCAAAGTTACAGATTCCGTAAAGCAAAGTATGTACAAGGCACAGCAAACAGAGCAGCCTGGCTATCCTCTTAAGGGCAAATGTACAAATTTGAAATAGCATTAAGTCAGAATGAAACATTTCCATTTTTATCCAAAATTTTTCACTATGATGTTATAGCTCAAAGGAAAATAGTATATTCTACTTTTATATATTCAGATGGAAATGTATAGACCAATCAAGGTATCAAATAAGTCTTGACATCCTCACTTTTTATCACTAATTTTTGGAATGTAATCTCAGCTACTGGATTGGGTAGGAGACCAAGAATGTAGTTTTGTTTGTTTCCTCATAGAAAGTAGCATACTTAAACAATGCAGGACATATAAAAAAAAGTAGTAGCAGTTTGGGATTTTAATCCTGGCTCTGTCACTTTATTTAAAATTTATTGTGAAGGTTCTGTTCTACAAATACTTATTATGAAGGCTCTCTTCTAGGCTCTAGGATATAGCAGTGAGCAAAACATACTAAGTACTTGCCCTCATGAAGCTTATATGAAGAACTATGTGACCTTGGGAAAATTACTAAAAGTTTTTTTTTAAAAAAACAATACAAGAAAGGCCTTAATTAGTTGCAACAGGAAGTGGCACAGGAGGGGAAACAACGTCTTCCAAATGCCATACACAGACTCAGTTGCCACCCTTCAAAAGCTAAATGTTTTTGACCCCCAGTTTCCTCATCTGTAAATCTGAATTAATATTAGTGATACTATTAAAAGAGAATATATACATATACATATATATAAATTATTTATAAACAAGTTAGTAGCTATTAAATGATAAATGGTTAAAAATCTTAGTCATTATCAGGTGTAGTTTGCTATATCATATTATACTTTTAGTGTATATGATTTAATTTTCATATTTTAGATATACATTGTGTTTTCAACCTATGGAACAATGTGGTAAAGAGGAAAGGGGTCAAAAATCTACAGTAATTAGAAGTCCTGGTTTCAATCCTTAGTTATACCATTTAGTAGCTGTGTAATCTTAGACAAACATCTGTGCATTAGTTTCCCTAACTATTAAATAAGGATAAAATGATGTGATCCACCTATATATTAGGCTGTAGCAATGAACAGATGATAATTTCAAAATGTTAAGAAGCATATAAATAAAATTTAATTTAGCTTTATTACATACCATGCTCTGTCTAATAACAATGTGTCTGAAAATTACAAACACTTGTTATTTGGAGATACACAGCAGGAAGAAGAGCACTAGAAGAAGTCATTTCTTGAGTGGACCAAAATTACTTCAGAAATAATGCACCTTATACAAAATGAACCATTCTTCTCTTTCCTACTACAGGACTAAGCATGGCTATCTAGAATTATGTTTGAACAGTATCAGCATATCTCTGCTACTTTGCATAATTTCGGAAGATTCAAAGAGAGATGGTATTTATTTAGAAAAAAGATTGCATAACTAAGACTATCAGATACAAACTTGTGTTATCCACATGAGTCTATTTTTGTCTTTCAGTGCTTTCAGTGGGAAAGTAGACTGATGAGTGAAATGGGCTAAGAAAAGCAAAAAGACTGAAGGAAAAGAAGTAAAAATGACAGGAGTGTAAATGAGAGAAAAGCATTAAAGAAAAAAAAAACAAAAGGAAAGAGGGGTCTTAACAGTGAAGCAATATAAAAAATTTTTTTTCCTTGGTGTAAAGAAATAGATGCAGGGATAAACTAAGTAGATGTAAAAAACAGAATAAAGAAAATACACACTGATAAGAGAACAAAAGAACGAAAAAATCAAAGCAATGGTGACAAGATAAAGAGAAAACAGAAAGGAAGAAATAAACCTACAAGACAGATGTCTGATGTCTGAGATAGATGCTTAATCTGTACATGTCACAGGCAAATAAAAGAAACTGGTTAAGAATTTAAAAACTGGTTAAGAAATTAAAAACAGTACCAAAAAAATCACTTTTTGCTTGCATTCTACATATACAAGTAAATACTCTTTATGATGGTGTATTTCAAAAACCTTACACAATTAATTTATGGAATCTGGATACCAGAGGTAATTTTTAAAATATTTTAATTCTGTCATAAGATTGTGGTTGGCAGACTGGATCATATAGAAGGAAGCTTAGGACAACTGGTAGAGAACGAGGTAGCATGACGATCCTGATGTAGTCACACACAAAAAGGGGGTAATACAACTACATTGGAACAAACAAGCTATTTATTAATTCCAAATCTAATAATTGTTTTTGTTTTTCAAATTATATAAGTAATGAGATGCTTTTCAGAAATTTAAATATTATAATCTGCCTAACTTTTGCTTGACTCATTGTATGAAGTGTTTTGGGTGTTCTTGGGCAGGATACCTTTTTTTGGGGGTCTTGAGAATTTATATGTTGCTTTCACTACTCCTTAACTGTCATTTCTTACTCAACAGACTGACACATAATCAAATGTCTTAAATGTTAGAAATGCAATCCCAGAAAGTAGAGCAATTATGCTGTGGTCTAGGAGTAGAATATAGAAAATAAAACCCTAGAAAGCAATGTATTAATATTTCCCTTCAAAGGTGGTATGAAGTATTTTATTAATGATCTTTTAAAGTAAAGTAAAAATAGCTCAAGTTGAATAATCTGAAATGTTACTAGTTTTCTACAGTGTCATTTATAAAATGTTAATTTCTCTACATTTAAATGTTCTGATTGAGTTAAACTTCTGGCATCCATAATAAGGCTTTGAAAATTGCACAAATGTCTCATATATATAATGCATAGTATGTATACCAAGCAGAATACATCAAAGTGCAAATAAAATTGTTTGTGCCCTCTACAGAATTAGAAATCCTTGGGCACACTGCTATTATATTTTGATTCCATGCTGCTAGGACTCCAAACTGCAAAGGTTCGCTGGGTGGGACAAGAGCAAAGGACAGAGTTCCTTCATTATACTATCACTGAACTGTTTTAGCTTAAATATTTATTAAAATATTAATTAGCCTTCCTCCCTCCATCTGCCTTCAGAAGTTAGGCTGAGGGACCGTGGATGGATGGTTGCTCATAGGAAAACAAAGCATTATCCAGTAAAACTTACCACCCAAGATGAAGAATGTTTTGTACAGTGCATTATTATTTCAGCAGGTACTATGTCTTAGAATTGTTAGGCGACATGAACTCTCTCTTATGGACAACATAACAGCATAATACCTTGAAGAAATAGCATGTTGGGAAGCTGCATTGGAAAGTTTTCTTTCTTTTGCATATATCACAATAAAATTATTTTGGAAAATTTTCCTTGAAGTAGTGTATATCACAAAAAGAAACAGCATTTGCATTTGAGACTTCTATAAAATGTAACACTGAGATAAGAACTATATGTTTTGGGCTTTGGAATAAAAAAAAACAGAAAGCATTTCATCTAAGTAGACAACTATGGGAAATAAGTGACTAAAAGTTAAAGAATAGTTTCTTTAAAAAACACTACTTTATAGAAAATAAAATATAAATAAAGTAAAAGTAACAATGAAGGAAAGTAGTGATCTCACTTACTCTGATATACAATTGCATCATTTCTTTTTCTCTTTGGGGGTTACGATACTTCTCATAGAAATCACGTCGCTTCTTTGTTTCTTTAGAAACTTTATCTTTTCTTTCTCGTTTTTCTGCTGGTTCATCTGAACTATCAGAAGATGACTGTACATGTATCTTCGGCTTTTCTACTTCAATATAGTTTTCATTGGGATTCAGTACTATTACTCCATATCCTTCCTGTTTGAAATGAAAGAGGGTGCATAATTTAATCTTTGAATCTATTTCAATTTATTAAAAAAGTTTACAAAATCTTAGACTAAGTAATATAGTTGCATATTCACTAAAATATTCTTTTAGGAATAATTATGGTTTTAATTTTTCCAAAAGAAGGTCACTTAAAATTGCTTGCCTTTATTGTATATGTAAATAACCATATATTATCTATAAGAACAAAACATTGCAATACAAAGATTATAAAACTTAAATTTTAAAAAGTATAATATGCATCTCCCAGAATCCCTAAAATGATTGAAATAAATTGTGAAATAACAAGAATACTTTCAAAACCACACTGAAATTGAAAATACACATTTTGAGAAAATAACGTCTTTGAAATTGAAGTTTACAATTCAAACTACATTTTCATGGATTCTGTTTCTTTACAATTGCTCTTTAATGAGCATTTTTATTTGTTTGAACAAATAAGCAATTAAAAAGGAATAAATCAGATCCAACATTCTACAAGTTTATATATCTATATTATCAGGAACATAGAATATCTACCTGTGGACCTTGGATTCTATTCACCTCTTTTCTTTCAGGAGAAAAGACAAATCATAAAACAAAATAAGTCACAGTTGTACTACAATGCATGGAAGCAACTCTTTAACCTCAAAATTGCTTTCATTTTCCAAACTAACATAATAATTTCTCTTTATTAAAAACTAGGACCAGGAAACAAGTACAGTTCCAAAGTTAACAAATATAGCTTGTTGAGCTATTAAGGCTTTTTTTAAAGTTTGTAAAACATATGTTTTCCTCTCTGACTCATTTCTAGCAAGGCAAATATTTCTATGGTTATAATTAAGGAAACTTTTGATATTTATATTATAACTGATGGAATAACTTAACCATGAGAAAATAGAGGATAAACAATAACCACTGACAAGCATGTGCAACACAAATTTTTGAAGCTATTATATATCTCTTCTATTCAATTCTACATTGTGGGTGTCCCAATTATGTCCTTATAAAATACTTTAAGGTCACATTTAAAAGGCGTCTTATATTACAATAAGAACATAAGAGCTATAGAAAATAAAAGTTATAAAATTTCATCCTTATTTTAAGAAAAGGTACTATATATTTTTTTCAGAAGTATGACTATAGAATCTTAAAACTTGAAGTTTAAAACTTAATTCTTTTTTTGCCAAACCAACCATGAGAAAATGATTTTTAAAAACTGTTAGTAATAATAAACCAATATTAGCATTGACTCAATTATCTTATTTTTAAATATGCTACACTGCTGCACATTTGGTCACTTTTACAGTTGATTTCACAAACTACTTACAAACTTCATTGGGATGGGTTCAATTTTTACCCCCAATCAAATGATATTATTGTCTAAAACCATGATTTGGTTTGGAAATATTCAAGATCATTAATGTTCTGACTTTAATGATAGGACATTAATTAAGATATAGTCATCTTACATATGTGAAAACTATATAATAATATATAGCAAACTGATAAAATATCATACATTCTTCAACAGATGTTCAAACAAAACTTTTAGATAAATATCTCTTTCATGAAAGGCTTATAAAACACTTTATAAATTTTTAAATTTAAACATACTACATCAAAGCACAAGAGGAGAATTTTTTTTCCCGAAGTTTCCTAGCTGGTAAGTCCAAAGTTTTACCAACAAAAGATATTTTATTTTGTTCTGCTTTATTCTAATCTGTATAGCTATTCAAAAGTCTTGTAATTCATTGTGATCACTGTCAGGTAGACAGATTGTCATTTGGTGATTTTCTACAGTTGGACACACTTGACTAGTTATTAAAATCACATTTGAAGCAAGTTCCTACCCCTCTCCCTTGTGCCTCTTACAACTTTTCACGCCCTTCTCAAATTTCAGCCATAACTTCTCCTCCCACCAAAAGTAAGTTAAAGAACACTGTTGCACTCTGCTAAACAGGGTGAAATAGAGGCATTCAGTACACTGTCTCTGGTGTAAGGAACATAGTCAAAAAAGGTCACCATAGGCCAAAAAGAAAATTGCCTCCTTACTAGATTCTGTACCGTGAGTAAGTGGTCTCCTGTCATGTTTCTTCCCTGCCTTCTCTGAGTGAATTGAACTTTAAACACACACACACACACACACACACACACACACACACACCCTCTCATACTCACACAGGAGTCAGAGTTAGCAAACCCAAAATAGAATCTTATTATTCTTAGAGACGAAAAATAGTGATATACTACATTTTAATGATAATATGAAAAATTTCAAACTCAGAGTAACAAAGTATGACTTTAATAAATTGATATAATATGAATATCATCTCTGCACAATGAATAAATTTCAAATAAAGGTAAACTCTTCAAGCAAAATTTAGTCACCAAAGAATTATAAACTATTATCCTAACTTACAACTTAATCAGTAGAAACAATATTATCATAATATCAGGCTTATTTGACTGAAACTTTCATCAATTTTTAGAAATCACAGATTGAAAAATTATTGTGCTTACTTGATTTTAAATACATTCTGAAATTTGATGTGTCCCATCTAAATAAGTATAAAAATAGACACATATAAATCATCAAAGAAGTAGTATTTGTCTAAGTTATTGATTATGTAACCGAAAATTATATGACTCATTTGTTCAATTTTATAAAGACACAATGTCAATTTTTCACTTAGGCATCGCCAGATGAAAAATGATTCTATTTCTAAATCACCACTATATAAATCAATTAAAGAATTTTTATCATTTAGATCTCAACGATGCATGTTTCTCTTTAAACACCTGAACTATTTAGAAAATATTTTATACTTTAGATCTTTCACATTGTCAATTTAATTAATGTAACAACAATCAAGAAATATTCAGGAACGTTTTCTGCAGAAATGAGAGCTGATTTTAATAAATGTCTTTGTTGCAAATTCAATTACCATTCTGTAAAAAATTAACATTTTTCAATTAAAAATTTTTTGATAAATTAATTAATGCAATATTCACAGAAACCATTCATACCATTTTAAAATGAGTAAGAGAAAGCATGAGCAACAAAATATATTTAACATCCCACCTACATGTTCTAACCACAGATACACAGTAAAACTTCATCTTTTCCTTCTATTCTCTGTCATATATAAGATCATCAAAAAATCCCTTTAAGCTACAAAGGTTTTTGTCATGTCAACATTAATGTATGGAAACTATCGAGTCAAAGCAAATAAAGTAAAACAAAGCAGAGACAAAATATCGGTAGTTAAATTTAACTGTTTTAAATAGAATAATACCAACTTATTAAAAAATCATAATAAATGTCATTTTAAAAAGTGATTCTTCCTATCCCTGGTAATTCAATCAGTACACATCAAAATAAGTAGAGATGTTTGTGTGACCTTTAATGACTCTACCCAAAAACTACACTATATATAAAACTACACTATAAAGGCATCAAGAAGAATATAGTAAAAGAACTATATATTGCTATTCTAATAAGGAAACCTCCATAACTTACGATTAGAATCTCAAACACTGTATACTGAAGTATTCCTTTTATATTTAATTATTCTTTAAGCATGCTAAATTTCTCATAAGATGAAAAGTTAGGCCATTTCAAATACACATGGAAACCTCTCCTGTTAGCTTTAAAAAGATAAAATGATAAAACTAATTATCTAACATTCTACAACTAAATAAATAAAACTTCTGGCATCTTTTATAATGATTGACAAAATCAATTCCAATACCCAACATTTCAAGAGACAAAGCATACATAAAGTTGTTAATTAACTCTATGTATCACACAGTCTAACAGAAGATCAAGAAGATGAGCAAGAGGACAGATATTGTTAAAAGTAAGCTTTATCTTTTTAATTCGTCTCCTTCCATTTTCTATATGTTTGTAGCTATAACTGTAGTTTTATTTTCAGAACTGTGTTTATAAGATAAACTATGGGATCTTAAGCAGAAACTCTCAAAAGTTTATCGCTAGACATAGTTTTTTGTTCAGCACAAATACTTGTGATTTAAATGGAATACACAGGCCTTCAGGCCCTCTTTACTTTGAAGTCTATGGATGTACTTACTAACAAATAATACTTCATTTGTCAATCAATCAACAGATGATGGCTTAGGTCAGAAAGGTCTAAAACAGACAGGTGATGCCAAACACAAAGAACCAAATTAAATCGGTAGTGATATGTACTTATCAAGAAGATTCTGCAAATAGATAAAATTTAAAAATGCCTGACCAAAACCAGACTGTACTTTTAACCCCAAATGAAATCTTGCTAAAACTGAAGATTTATCCAAGTTAATTTGCCTATTAATTACCAATTATAAGGAAAGTAGAAAATAGGGGTTAATTCTACATCTTTTTAAATATCTTGTGGTTGGCTAATAAAAAATCAGCTGAAAGCACTCAGCTCTGCGTATTAACCTACCAATACTGCAAGCCACATGTGACCAAAGAGTTCAAGGGTCAAAGTTGAATTCTTTGACCTATGGAACTATCTGTTTTGGTCTTCAGGCAAAGGCTCTGTAAGGGATCATTTAACACAAATTTATCAGTCATATTTCTCAAGTTCAGCATTCTGTCTGCTTGGTTTGAAAGAAGATAGGTGCTCATCCTCAAGGGAAATGAAACCCTAAGTATTTTATCTACAAACTACTGGACAACTACAAACCCATGGGCAAACTACTGTCCATTCATCTTTTCTGAAAGATGTGTGCTGTGTTTATTCTCATTTTTTTTTCACAAGAAGGGTATGTATATGTCTGTGTTGCGACATCCTAGGTGCAACAGTGAGATGAGGTCACGGCAACCAATCAGAAGTCACTAGTGAAGCGTTAAAGTAAACGTTAGAGCTGTTAGAGCTGCAGCTCTGCTTGAAAAATGCCCCCTCCATTATTTCAGCAATTTTCTCAAGACGTGACCTGGGACTGAAAAGCCTGAAATGTCACTTGACTCCGTTTTGTGTTTCTTC